GGGGGGGTAAATAGCAGCCTCTCCCGTTGCTGCCTCGCTGGCTGCTGCTCGCTGCTCGCTGCTCGCCGGGAAGGGGGGGGGGGGAAATAGCCAGCACCTCTTCAACACGAGGTTGCCGTGCTACAAGGCCATGTGTAGACTGTGGCCAGTGTGTTATGAGGGTGGTATATGCACGCGCATGGCCGGCAGCTGCCTGGGTTCAAACCCCAGTGGCAGCATGCATTCCAGATCTTGATTAATATAATCCGGGAGCGGGGTGGTGGGGGGCAACAGGGCAGCGTGGCGCGCGCGCGTGCAGCGGCCTTGGCCTCCGCGCTCGTCGTGGTGCTTGCTTTTTCCGCCACGTGTCACCTCCTGCAGGCGCCGCTTTTTCCCTGCGTTTTCACTGAAAAACACCCGATTGCTGTTTTCCTCAGCTGTACAGTTGTACGGGGTGGTGGGTGGGAGCAGGGAACGTTTCCGCTCCAATACCAATGTAGCGGACCCACCAGGTGTGGTGCTCCGCTACTGATAGAGATGGAGATGGAGGAAGAAGGGGGGGAGCAAGATGCACAACGCAGCTCCCCACGCAAGACTCCAACGCACGTACTCCAAAATGTGCGAGTGTCAGTGTAGAATGAGCACGAAAACAGACAACTGCTCGGGTATACCCCAGCGGACTGACGGGACTGGACTGGACTGGCTGGTACCGACAGAGGTACCGGCCTGGACTGGACTGGACTGGACTGCCCCCGAATAGAACACAGGCCTGTGAGAACAGGCCAAGGGGCTGGTCTCACAGGCCAACCAGAGGTCCGCTACATGGGGGCAGCCTCCTCGGCATGTAGGCAGGCCTCCAATCTTAGTATTTACTCCTTGGTTGGTCTGTAACTTCAACCATATTGGCCTGATCGGGACTGGCCCAATAATCAGATCTCTGTTGAGTGCAACACCCGGTTACTACGTACAGAGGGCACAATCCGTTGTTGAAGCCCCGGAGAGCATACCTCTCTTTACACTTCAACCCGTAACCCGTCCCCCGCCAATCGTCTTTCCTCCAGTGACTGTGCCCTTCTCCTTAGACCCCCGGCAGCCAGGTAAGCCTCCCACTCCGCTTGCTAGCTTCACACTCCCCCCCCACCATTAGGATGGGCTAGATCGGCTGAATCCTCTCTTAGAACGTAGAGAGATACATTGGCCTCCCAAATTTCCCTTTCGTCGTCGTTTCCCGTCAGGCGTTGCGCACCCTCCGGCCCCTGCACTACCAATGCTGACCCTTCTCTCCTTTTTCTCGCATCATCATCATCTTCGCCCCGGCTAAAAAACCCAGGAACGACTCTCTCCTCACTTGTTTCCGCCAAGCGAAAGGCGGGCTTCTTATTCTTACTCTCATAACTCCTCTCTCCTTCATATCCGCGTGGCTCTTTACTCGTGCAACAGCAGAATCGTTTGGTATCCTGCAATTCTAACCCCGTAATCAGATTCGCCTTATTCGAAAACCCTCGTGTAGGATCATCTCTCTCTCGATTATGTCCACAATCAGCTGCACTCATGCACTTTCTTCTCCTCTCCTTCCCGCCATCTCCATAGCTCCGAGTGCGTTCTCTTCACTAATCTCCCGCTACACCGATCCTCCCGCTATCCTAACACTTCTACCGGATTCGCCTTATGCCGAAATCTATGCTCCGCACCCTCAAAGGGAGGAACTAGTATGCAACAACAGGTATCAGGCGCCGGCTTCATGGTGAAGAGGATCCCCCCTCCCTCCATTATCCTGCTCAGTCAATCCCCTGGATTCCAGGGTAATCAGTGCTGGCAGGAACCCCCACATTCCCTGTTCTGATATGCTTAAGGGACGCTAGGCCCTCTTTCCAGCAGGTGTTGCTCCCCAGCAATAGATGGAGCCGCTCCCCAGGTGGTGGCGGTGTCTGCTCTTCCCAGCACCATTAACACTGTAGGGGGTGTTTTCAAAAAAAAAAAAAAAAAAAAAAAAGCATGCCCGGGAAGGCACATGAGGCCAATGGGGATTGAACCCACGACGTCCTGAATGCCACTTGCAAGCCTTACCAACTGAGTTAGGCCGATTTTTTTATTTATTTATTTTTTTCCCTCAGAAAAAAACGCATTTATTCCATGCAGAAAAGAGGCCGGGGACCTCACAATTCAACCCGGTGTTATCCCGGCAGCATCAGCCGGTTTAGCCTACAGCCTGTCGGCTGGGGCTCCTTACAGAGACGTCGAATCAAAACTGATCAAAACAGAAGGAACAGAGGTCAGAAAAGATCTAGGAGCAGAAATGGCCAACTATAGACGGCTGCCCTGAAATTCCATCCTCTGGAACAAAAACCATGCCACAGGCCTGTAGAAGCCAAACAAACCAAGAACCTCCAATAAACAACTCCAACAACCCATAACTCCCCACAATTCAAAAGAAAACTATTCTACTTAATGCCTATTCCTAATCACTGTTGTCTAAAGGCGACAACCCAGACCTGCTGGACCAGAGAACATCTGAAGACATACTCACACGAGGATCGAAAGACCCAAAATCCCAAAATTTGAGTCATTTTTCGGGTCACACTGGAGAGGCTCGCTACCCAAATGCCTCAAACGGTGACCCTTCTGTCAGCGGCCTGCCGGGCCGCGGGCGTACCCTTTTTTCTCCAGAGGTGGTCTCAAATTACCTTTCGTTTTTTTTTCCTCTGTTTTCACGAATTGAACAGAGTCGTAGACGAAGAAGACAGCCCGCCAAACAACTGAAAGTGCGACCAGGAACATTTACGTTGTAGATAAGGCCCAAGCGTTGTGAAAAGAAAAATTAGAACAATCCATCTTTTCGTTTGGTCCTCCCCCGTGTGACCCGGCGCACTTGCCCTGAATGCAAAGTGTCAGGGTCGCGACTTCGTCCTTTCTGGACGAGGTCCGCCCGTGTGACCACACGGGGACCAAATGCCTAAAAAAAAACGAACCAAACGCCTCAAATTTTTGAGACTTTTGGTCCCTGTGTGAGTATGCCCTGAGAGCGCTCCTATCCCACTCCCCAAGTCCCCCTGCCATCCTCCTGTGGATACTAGAACCGAGTGCCCCAGGTTCTTATTGCTTACTTTGTCCATTAGGCCGATTTCTGCCCTTTGGGACATCCGTTAAATTGGAATGATAAATCGAGAAATGCTCCAAATAAATTATTATAGAAGAAAACAAAAACAAAAAAAAACACAACACGATTTCCAGTGTGCAGTAGGATAGGAGTGTGGCCGATCCAGTGTGACACTGAGTGGCAGCGGCCTGACAGGTTCATTACGAATTTCTGGGGTGAGAAAACAGGAGAAAGGCAAAAAAAAAAAAAAGAAACAGAGACCTCCCACCTGAAATCACCGCAGAGTGCTTCCCAGCCATCAGATCACAAATGATCTGATGGTGGTGGTTGCAACAACAGTGCAGAAAGTAACTGCCACATTTTCTGGAATAAGCTTCTGATCCGACAGTGGGTAAACTGGAGAATTTTGTTGAGAAATGCGGATCCCATGTACGAGGGCGCGGCGCTTTGTTAGGGGTACGTTTTCCGTTTCTGTGTACGTGGCACGAAGTCCGTGATGGACGGCCCAATGGAAAGCTCGAGGACCCCTACCCCTACTGAAAAAGCTGCCGCAAAAATGAGTCAGCCTTTTCGATGTCCGCCCTTGGTGAAAATGGGCCAGGTTCCACTCTCTCCTGGCCCTTGGCAGATGCCGTGTCACTCACTTGGGGAGGCCAGGCCATACAGTGGTCCACAGGAATGTCCGTCACCGTGGAAGGCCAAAAGATCCCGCCGCAGTCCTTGGGAAAGACCCCCAGATCGCGTTCGTGTGGGGTCCGAGTTTGCTTTTCCGCCCCCGGTTGCCTTCTTTTTAGGGACTTTGGTGTTTTTTCTCTTTTTGTGTATTGTCATCATGACTCCCTCCATATACTCCGTGTTTGAAGGAGGGCTCCACCCTATGAGATAATTGCACACCAGCAAGCAAAATACTGATAATCTTCTATCCAGTGGGCCTATGGCCGACCCCACCCTCTTTTGGGGTTGGCCATACCCCAACCGGCGGTTGAAAAGATTCTGGCGGGTGGCTTTCTTTGCACGGGCATGCCCAGTGTTAAGGAGAGGAGGAGGGGAACAAAGATCTCCTTACTTTTGCGGGTAATACATGTAAAATACTGACCGTGGGATCACTAGTACTGCACGGCAGGATTCGGGTCACTCAACTGCCACACAAACTCTTTTCTATCCTATCCGGTTGCTAGTGGGACCATGCTCCAGAGTGGCGGGGTGAGAGCCCCCCGCTGAGCTTTTGAGTTTGAGGGGGCCAAAAAGAAAAGACCCCCAAAACAGAACTGACGAGTCGAAGTGCCTCGCCACACCACTGTCCAAACGAAAAAAAGGAAAGAATGCATCTGCCACAGAAAGTGGTAAGATGCGTCCGTTGCTTTTCATAGTAACGGAATGCATCTTTCCCTCCTCCGCGTGAAGATGCATTCGTTCGTTTTTCCATCTCGACTGTGGTGTGGCGAGGCCCGAACCCGATGCCGATGTGCCTCCCTCGACTTCTCTCGACTTCTCTCGACATGTCCAAACCGAGAGTGTGACTCTTCCTGCAGAACAGGAAAACATACGCTGCCACATGTTTGTTGTCGTTTTGCATGTCGAGAGTACTGGAGCAGGCCCGATGTTGTGATGTTGCACGTGAGGTACTTGGTGAAATGTCGAAGATCATATAAGAGATGACGGGCCCCCTCTGGTCGTTGCAGCAGCTGGACCTGGAAATTTGCAATAAGTAGCCATCGTACTGGCTACTGGCTCTGATTGATCGAACCGCCATCGCGATGCTCAACAGAGAGAGGGGAGGCAGTTGAGTGAGGCGAGGTGGGTGGTGAGGCGGCGAGCAGGGAGCGTGGGGGAAGCTTGGGAGCAGAGGCAGGCCGACGTCGAGTACTAGAGGTGTGAGATCTTTCAGCGAGAAACCGAAATACTAAAAGGCTGTACTGTACTGTACTGTACTGTACTGTATGTGAATGTGATTTGCGTGGCGGGAAACGGGAAAGGATAAGACTAATTGGCGGGAAAAAGTTTGATTGCAGATATAGATAGACCGATATAAATAAAATTTGTAGATTATCTGATTCTTGTGGGATTACGTCCAATCAAAAAACGGAGAGCCGCCGGGGGAGTTGTAGTTGTCGTCACACACACACACACACACACACACACAC